GCCGGCCGCCGCGGGCCGCGGCAAGGGCGGCAAGGGTGCGGCGGCGGCGGCGGCGGACGCGCCGGGGGCAAAGCGGCGGCGCGCGGGCAACGCTGACAAGGCGGCAGAGGCGAAGCTCGATGGTATGGTGGCTGATTTCAAGGCCAAGATGTTTGGCGGCGGAGCCTCAAACGGGAACAGCAGCGGCGGCAAAGCCGGTGGCGGCGGCGCGATCAGCAAGCGGTGGTTTGATTGATGGTGCGCGCGCGCGCGTGCCTGTCCTGCGCGTGCTGGGAACGCTGTAGTGCGGCGGCGGCAACATGCATGGCATTGCGTTGTAACGTGCATGGCATCGCTCCCAGCACCTGGCAGAATGAAAGGGGCTGTCCATGCAGGGCAAGATCCAGTGGCTAGAGCCATTATTGTTTTTAAAATCCAGCCCCGTTGCGTCGCTGCTGAGCAAACGCGCCCCATGCCTGGCGCGGCTGGAACCTTTGAGGGGTGACAGCTTCCCCCAGCCTGCCGCGCGCCCGTACGTCGTGCACAGTGGGCGCCAGTGTGCAGCGGGCGCCGGACGCAGGCGCAGGCCAAGTAGGCTGATGCAACGCAGCCATGACTAACTTCTGAGAAGCTGCTGGGTGCCATCTTCAGATGGCGCGATCTATGGACGTCGCCCAGAATGGGCGTTTCAGCGGCAGCATCCATCCTTGAGGGTGGGAGCTGGATGCAGCGCCTGTGGTGGTAGGGCCGGGCAGTCCGGAACTGGCATGATGCAGCAAGATGGCGGACGGGTCGTCGATGGGTGCAGCCCGGCAGGACGGCCCCTTCTGCAAAGCACCCTGCCAGTTTCACTTCTCTCGATACGCGCTCGCTGAGAAGGCGAGCACGATACGTTCAGGCAAGCACGGACGGCTGCGCTGTGGGCTACAGTAGCCGCCGTGAACCGCTCGCTGGCGTCATCACCGTCCACGAGCCTGCCCCCAAGACTGCCACCACTCTGGACGCCAGGAAGAGCCTCAAGCAGGTGTTCAACGCTGTGGCGACCCGTCTCGCCAAGCCGGCCGCCACCCGCCCCAGTAAGAGCCCCCAGGCGCCCGGGCCCACCACCCCCACGGCCAGCCCCCAAGCTGAACCTGGGCGCCGCCTTGCCCGCCAAGCTGGCCGCACCGCTGGCATGGCTTGCGTCGAACCGCAGCCGCCGCGGCCAGGAGGGGCCCGTGCCGCCGGCGGCTGTGGGCGAGCCAGCGGCTCTGGCCGCGTGACAGCCCATGCAGCACACCTCTCTTGGCCTGACTTGAAAGCCTCTCAGAGGTTTTCACCCTGTTGACCAGGCTGGTCAACAGTGTGGTCGGTTGCGTGCCTGGCCCCACGAGCTTTGCCTCAAGCCTGCCTAGACCTCTGTCTTCTCACTTTGTTCAAGCATGTTTCAGTGCGCCCCTTCCGACTGGTCTTTCGCGTGCGTTGCCGCCGCCAGCTCTCTGGACGCCCCTTGTGACCTGCCTGCCACAATCGCTCTCGTACCCTTGCCGTGACTCCCGGGTCAACGCAGCCGCCGTCGACAAGCCGTATGCACTGAGATTTCCGCACTTGCCCGGCGTTTGTGTTGTCAAGCATCCGACTGCATGTGTGCTTCTATCTCCAGGGGCCCAAAGGGTGGCAGCAAACTCAGTAACGCCATCAAATGTGTCGGGCTTGCTCCTCAGCCCGTGCACCTCTCCCATCAGCTGCTGCCGTGCAAGCTGCTATTTTACCTCGCTTTCCTCAGTGCCACCTCTAAATGTAATCAGAGTCGCATCTTTGAGACAGCGGCTCTTTGCAGCACAACAGCTGGGCACTGGCAGCTGTTCAAGAACAGAGCCCTGCAGGCGTGTACACGACAGCACCTGCGGCAAGCCAGTCCGGCAGCGACAGCCACGTTCTCACGGCGGCGCAGCACCACTAGCGCTGCCGCAAAAACCACGCGGCAATAAGCTGACAGCAATCCTTCGAGTTTGGCCATGCAATGCCCTGTGTCAGGATACCAGCCGCGCAGCACACGCCCGCATCTCGCAGGGACCACTGTTGCTGTCTCGATGCATGTGTATCCAAGCAACGCAGATACTGTCTGCTGAAACCATGCTGGCAGCACCCGCGAGGGCCCAGGTCGGTGCAGAGGGCACTCGACTCGCCCCGGGGCCACTCACAGCAGTCGGCAGCGCAGAGGGCGCCGCCGGGCCGTTCAACGTAACGCGCGCCGATGGGGCCGCACATCATGCGGCGGTCGCCGCAAGCAGCGACTCGCCGCAGGTGCCCGGCGGGTCCGAGCGAAGAGGTTTCCACAAGGCTCGCAAGCCGGCTGCCTGCGCCCCGGCTCGTCAGTTTTCCGACCAGACCTTCTTGCAGTTGTTGTTGCAGCAGCGCAGGAAGACCGTGGCGGGCTCGTCCGCGGAGCGCGTCTGCATCTCGTAGAAATAGGCCTCGTTGTTGCGGCACGCGGGGCAGACGGCTGCGGGGTGGGGGATGCAGGGTGCGGCCGTCTTGGTTAGGGGGAAAGGTAGGGTGATGGAGGAGTGCATGAAGGGGAGGGGGGTATAGAAGCGGGATTGTAGTCACACTCAAACGCACATTATAGAAGGACGCGCATCTGGAGCCAATGAGGTGCGCGAGCACAGGGTGCAGGTGCGCACGAAATGCTTGCTGCCATGCAGCTCGCGCGACACAACACACACACACACACACACACACACACACACACGCACAGATCAGCCATGCTGCCACGATGCAAAAAGCGGGCTCACTGGAGGTGGTCTTCTGCGCGTTGGCCCACATCTTCGTTTCATCAAACAGGTCCTCCACTTTCTTGGGCGTCAGCTTCGAGCGCCGCCGGATCTGATTGGGTCACACAAACCGGGCAAGACAGAGAAACGACCCATGAGAGATGCTACAGTGCCTGAATTGGCGGCTGCGCAAGGCGGTGCGAGGCTGGGGGCGAGGTGCGGCCGTCACGCTGCCCGAGCGTTCGGCGCAGGCCCGGGCGAATCCGCGGGTGTGCCAGCATCGGCTACGCGACGCCTGCAGGCGCGGTGAGACAATCCTGCTGTGACGGCCCGCAAACACAGCGCCATCTCGAACACCGGCGCGTGTCGGGCGGCCGCAGCGGCGGCGCGGCCAACGCAAGGGGCGCCGCCACGCACCGTGTGCTGGATATCAAATACATAGGGGCAGGTCTGGCAGAAATAGCGTAGCCCTGAGGTCGTGCCCTCCAGCTCCACTGCAAGTGATAATATGTCCGCGGTGGCGCAAAGGCAGGGTGGGTACAAATGCCTGTGCATCGGGGCTGGATTGGGGTGTCATGCAGACTGACGTGGCGCCGCTGCGAGTGGCGGCCGACTGGCCTGGCAGCAGGGCGAGTTGCCCTGTCCCAGGGACTCACCCAGCAGCATGTTGCCGCATGTTGGGCAGAAGGCAATCATGGCGACTCGCTTCTGGGGCCGAGCGCCGCCCCCTCCTCCCACTCTGGCTGCGCCACTGTTCTTGGCGCGTCACACCGACGGCCGAAGTGCTTGCCGCCTCTGGTGCTTTGTAGAGGGGCAACTGGCGTCTTGACAGCAGCAGCGATCTACCTCGTGCCACAGCCGAGCTATGTACCGCGCGCTCTTGACTTTTTGAGAAGCTGAAGGTGACAAAGTGATCTTGCTTGCCCGTATGGTACTCAATGCACCGCGTTACCCTGCGTTGATCAATCAATATATTTTTCAAACGTATGAACGCTATCTGGTAGACAGTGTTGCTTTGGCTGGCCGTGATCTCCTAGCGCGTGTCACCGTATAGACTCGCTGTGCAACTGGGGAGCTGGTGTATAAGGTGTGGTTCTGGATTGTCCGTTCATCAGCTGGAGCTCTAGTGAGGCCCACACTAGACCGCTGCACGACCGCGCCTGCTGCTGCCGCAACCGCGGCCAGCTCGGGGGCGCCGACTGTGGCCTTATCAGAATTGGCAGCTGCCGGCGCGCACAGGCGCACATCGTACACCCCACCGACGTGGGTCGCCCGCCCTCAAACTGCGACTGTGGCGCAGGCAGTGTGACAGCCTTGACCCGCAGTGGCCACCGTGCGACGCCTCAGCGGAGCGCCCTCCGCCCGCGTAGCAAGCTAGCGGCCAGCGCCAGCGCCAGCCGCGGCGCCCCTTCGTTTACTGCTGCCGCTGAGGTGGCCTAACCTCGCACCCCCACCTGCGGGCGGCCCGCCCGGCAGCGTCGTCAGCGGCGCGCCGCCGCGCCTGCAGCAGCGGCCGCGGCAGCGGCGGGGCCGGCGCGGGCGGCGGCTGGCGCGATGGCGGACCCCCTCAGCGTCCTGCGGGACTATGTGGTGCAGCAGAAGCTTGACCAGGTCAAACTCAAAGACGACGGCCGCGTCTACTTCTCAGATCAGTACTCGTTCCCGAAGGCCACCTACACAGCCTTCAAAAGCAACGGCCCCGGGGGAGACTTTTATGATCTGGGGTCCGTGGTGTACTTCATCTCGATGGTGGCCGCCCACGAGACAGCTCGGATCGCAGAGTATGTGGCAGGGTGCAAGCAGCGCGGCTTCAGGCCAGTGGCGTTCGTCGATCGAAAGGTGTGCGGTGTGTGTGTGTGTGTGTGTGTGTGTGTGTGTGTGTGTGTGTGTGTGTGTGTGCGTGGTGGGGGTGGGGTGGGACTCTCTC